ACCACCTCCTTCTCCATCATCTTCAACTACTTTACATAGAAACAGACTGTCATATATGCAGCTCTCTCACTCCCCGCCCCACATACCTACATACTCATATGTACTGTTCTCCGCAGTTACCTTCATCTCTGTCTTAAGAGGACTAATAATGTTATAGCTTTTAGGTGTGTCTCATCTCACCATGATTCATTCTTTCTCAAAAATCATCCACAACTAGCTCATTCTCCTTAATATTATAGTTATAAATATAATATTTATATTATAAATCTCTATCTTATAAAAAAAAATCAAACACCAAAATACTTCTTTGGTTCTACAGCAAATTGCCCCAACCCAATCTTTTTTCAGCCAAGATTCTTCAAAGAGGAGGTTATATTCCTTGTATTCTTTTTCACCTGATGTTCAGGCTTTGCTCCATTATAGCCCACCATTCATCACCCCACACTACTGAAACTCTTCTAAGATTATGGATGCAAACCTAATTGTCAAATGTACAGTTGACCTTTGAACAATGCCAGGGTTAGTGGTGTTGACCCCTGTGCAACTGGAAATCCATGTATAACTTCTGACTCCCCAAAAACTTTACTAATAGCCTATTGTTGACCAGAAACTGATAACAAATGGTCAATTAACACATAGCTCGTACATTACCGTATTTCCCCATGTATAAGACGCACCCTTTTTCGAAAAATATGGGGGTCTAAAAACTGGGTGCGTCTTATACAGTGGTTGTTTTTTTTATTTGCATTTCCCACTTTTTTTGCACTTGTTTTTGTGCTCATACAACAACTGTATAAGACGCACCCAGTTTTTAGACCCCAAATTTTTCAAAAAAGGGTGCATCTTATACATGGGGAAATACGGTATATGTATTATAGTGTATTCTTACAATAAAGTAAGCTAGAGAAAGTAAAATATTATTTAAAAAATCATAAGGAAGAGAAAATACATTTATAGTATTTACTGAACAAATCTGCATATAAGTGGACCCACGTGGTTCAACCTGTGTTATTCAAGAGTCAACTGTATGGGAACTTTTCCAGTTCTTCTCTTAGTGGGCCTCCCTGGGAGCAGCTGACACGACTGATTTAATCCACTGAAACCCTACTTGTGGGGCACCTCTCTTAAGATTTCCTCCTATCTCCTGCTATCCCTTCCTAGTCTCTTTTATGGGTTCCTCTTAAATATTAATGTTTCTCTAGGATTCTGTCCTGGACCCATTTTATTTCACTATACACATTCTCTCTAGGGGACACTCCTGGATTCAGCTTCCATCAATATTACACGACCTTCTATTTTCAGACCAGGCTTCTCATAAGCGCTCTCTGTGTACTAAACATCGTGACTATTACACAGGGAACTGAGTTCCCCCATGTCTGAAACAGAATCTATCATCTTTCTATTCCAACTCACCCATTCATTTTCTTTCTCTGTGAAGGGACTGCTATACACCCAGCTGCCTAAGCCAGAAGTCCAGGAAAGATTCTAAGCTCATCTTTTTTTTTGTCCTTAATGTCCAGTTACCAAATTCTGTTCATTTTTACCTCCCAAATATTTCTCACAACTATCCATAACACACTCTCTAGCTTTACTATCATTATTTTAGTTCAAGACTTTATAATATCTATTAGGTAACTCAATATTTTCCCTCTATTTTTAGTTTTTATCAAAATTATATATGCACATATTTCAAAGTCACATATAGTTCTACAGGGTTAGTAACAACAACAACAAAAATCAGCAATCCTCTGTCCTCTTCTCCAGAGATAACCATTTTTTCCCCTTTAGCTCACTATTTAGAAAAAAATTATTTCTTTTTTCAGTTACAGTTGACATTCAATATTATTTTATATTAGTTTCAGATGTACAGCATAGTGCTTAGACAGTTATATAATTTATGCAGTGATCCCCCAATTAGTCTAGTACACCCCTGGCCTATATACACAGTTGTTGTAACATTATTGACTAAATTCTCTATGCTGTACCTTACATCCCTGTGACTTTTTGTAACTACCATTTTGTATTTCTTAATACTTTCACCTTTTTCACCCAGCTACCCATAGCTCACTATTTTGATATTTACTTCCACATCCCTAAATACCTTTCTTGTGTTGCTACTTCTTGATTTTTCAGTTTTATGCATATCTAATAACTTCCTACTAAGGACACCATAATTTCATTTACCCAACATTTATTGAGTGCCAACATTGTGCCAGGCATTGTTGTTCTGTTTTGGGTGTTTGGGATACGGCAAACAGAACAAATATCTATCTGGGGAGAGAGATGAATAACAAATATTCATTATTAAATTAGAATATTCTATGATTCATTATAAAATAGGATCACTCCTAGCAAGTAAGATGTCTTTCTTTTGTGCTCCAGTAGTGATCGATTCATAGCTCTATCATAGGCAACAGGTTCTATACTACAGTATTGTGTAAGACTGTGGTTGGTAGTGGGTGTCTTGCTTAGACCTAAGCTGTGTTCCTCCCATGGTTCTGATGAGTCTGGCTGTGACTGGAGGGATCTGTCTGCATGAGAACAGAAGAGCCCCCCTGAGAAGGTGCTAGAGGACTTAAGTTATGTTTAAAAATGGGCCTGGGTAATTTTAGAGGAGCTGAATCCATGAATCTTCTGATCAACTATAAATGTCTTGTTAAATCCAAACTTAACTTTTGAAGGGTTAAAAGTAACAACCTAGGGTCATCAGAAAGGGAACACTCCTTATATCACAATTAAATTTTCAAATGGTACCAGTGACTTATGAATAGTTTAGGAATGTTTGAACATGACTGGCTTCTCTGATTAAATAACATAATTTTATTTTAGTGGAGCAGATCCCCACTTATTTGCTTTGTTAGCTGAATAATAAAAAAGGATACAAAGAGGATAAAATAAAATACAATGATAATGTAGGAAAACAACTGCTATCAGTTTTTCTTTATATCTTTACATATTTGCTTGATTATTGAAAGAAATTTTAATTTAAAAGAGGAAAAATGATGTTTAATAACTTATTTCTCAAAAATCTTATCTAGAATCACAATTGGTATATTAGTATTTTTCATAAAACAAAAAAATTAAAGTCAATTATTTGACATAGTAATAAAAATTGTACTATGAGCTATATATTTTAGAATATTTTATATGATAACCATTCTTTTTTAAATATTCTGTTATATTTTTATATTGTCTTTGTCTTCTTTTAAAAATAATTTGGTTTCAAATATTAAATTAAAAAATTTCTGAGTTAAGCCAGTATTTGTAGAGGAAATTCCCAAAAATATTTAGTAAAGCTGAAAAGAAAGAAAATATTTTAATGCTATGAGGTCCTGTTTATGCTATGGCTAATTCCTTAATTAAAAAAAGGCTGAATATTTACATAACATTTATCAAACTATTATTTAAAAAATGTTAGAAAAAGGATACTTCTGGAAATAAACAGATTTTTAAAAAGTGTTTCCTGAATGATATAATTATATTTTATTTCTTTGAGCAAAACCTAAAAATTGTAAGCAGACAGCATATCTATGAGATACAAGGAGCAATTACATTTTGGAAGAACTTCAGAAAAGACTCACTTTCTATGAACAATATAAATTCACTTGTCAGAAAATCAGAAACTACACGCTAAATTCATTAGAATTTGACCATCAATAAGTGCCCCAAAACACTGGGGGTAACAACGAATTACTGCTGAAAGATATCTGATGATGGTATTTATCTTAACCATAATCATACACTGTACAAACACTAAAAACTGTTAGATATATAGCCGTACAATAAAATTCAATTTTCTATGATTTTATTCCATAAAGCTCTTTGAACAATATAGTATAAAAATTTTTACAGTCTGAGTTCTGGCTTTGAAAATTAGGCCCTATTTAAAAACTTAAAAGGAGAAAAAACGCTTGCTTAAACAATTATGAGTCAGTCAGCTGTGAATCTTTACTGGCCAAATCCATTACTCCTTCAAGTGAGGAGTTACCTTTCATCACTTGTCTGTACATGTGCTGCAGAGCTTGTGGAATACTTAGTGTTGTATGCGGATAATCACCTGAACACCTGATCGGTTACAACAAATGGGAGCTTAAAATCTTGAGAGACCACAAGAACCTATATAAAAGCTTGGGTCTTGTTTGGGACGTTGCTTTCTGATCCCTAGTGACTTTGGCTAACAGTGATGCAACACCCTCCTGGAAAGCAATCTTGAAATCTTTGTGAAAGCAGATTAAATCCTGGGGACAGACAATGACATAAGGCTATCTGGTCCAGATGCTAATATGTTGGAAAAATAAATGAGAACAATTTTCTCCTAGAGTAAAACACCTCATCAGCAGATAGAACTACTCAAAGCTGTGTAAAGGTGTTTTTTACTGATTAGTAACTCATAGAAGGTTACAGTGTTAAACCACTTTAATTTTTACAAATTTGTTAATTAACATTATGAAGGGGTTCATAGGCCTCCCCAAGATGTGCTACTTTGGTATGTGGATTATTCTGAGCTGACGGCAATCGAGACCTGTGGGCCCAAGAGAAACTTTTACCTCTCCCTTAAAGAATCTAATCTAAATTGGGGGCTTTGCCCATAATAAGCTATTACCATAAATAACTTTTTATGACCTACAGGGCAGGGCAAACATGTAATAACTGAACACCTGCTCTTCTTATCGTCCTCCAAATGACCTTCCTTCCTTCTGAAACCCCAAGGCACTTTACCTCATCCTTAGCTCAAAATGCCATATATACTTCATTTTTAACTTTCTGTCTCTGAACTTCTCATGTATGTAGGGTTCCCATGTGTACATATATAATTAAATATGGTTATTTATCTTTGGTATTTATAATCTGTCTCATGTCAATTTTATTCAACCAGCTGAAAAAGAACTTAGAAGGGAAGAGATTTTCTTCCTCCCCTACAATACTTGTAAAATTTTTTACCAAAGGAACTAAGTTATTATTAACATATACTAAAGTAACATAGAATGAAAATTGATTACCTAATCAAGTAGCAACAGAAGAGTAAACTAAGGATGAAGACAAATATAGCAGTGCCAAAAACCACAATATATATGTTGAGAGGCAGATTCTGGAATCCAATATTAGGCATCCTGAAGTTGTAATGTGGGAAATCTGAGCTCATGGATGAACTGTGGGGGAGAAAAAGAATAGAAAAAAATTAGGTTATAAAGACTAAAAACCAAGATAGCATTATCTTTATACATGTACAGTAGTCCCTCCTTTTCCTCAGAGGACTCATTCCAAGACCCCCAGTAGATTCCTGAAATCATTGAAGAGTACAGACCCCTATATACATGTTTTTTTCCTATATGTACATACCTTTGATAAAGTTTAATTTATAAATTAGGCATAGTAAGAAATTAACAACAATAACTAAAATAGAACAATTATAACAATATGCTGCAATAGAAATGTGAATGTGGTCTCTCCCTCTCTCTCAAAATATCTTGCACTGTACGTACAGCGTGGACATACTGGACGAAGGGAGGACTCATGTCCAGGGCTAGACGGTGAGAGAGTTCATCATGCTACTCAGAACAGCATAAAATTTAAAACTTATGTTTATTTCTGGAATTTTCCATAAATTCTAATGCCAAGGGAAATATGAAAATATGTGGGAAAAATTAAGATTCAAATTATGTGTGTGTGTGTATACATATATATGTTGTTTGTCCATAATTTCTGGCTTACAGATCTTGAAACACTTGGAATTTCTTGATTTTTGAGAGGGGGGAAAAATATCTTTGTTATGTTAATGAGGTGAGTTTTAGAAAGCACCTAAGGATGGGGGGCTGGTTGCCAATGGAGCCAACCACGTGATTAGAGGGTTGGAACTTTCAGTCCTATCCCCTGACCTCTCGCGAGGGGAGAGGGCTGGAGATTCAGTTCAATTGTCACTGGCCAGTGACTTAGTCAATCATGACTGTGTAATGAAGCCTCCATAAAAACCTAGGAGGGCAGCTAGTTGGTCCTTTTTTGGAGAGTTTCTGGGTTGGTGAACACATGGAGGTGCTGGGAGAGTGATGTGCCTGAAGGCATGGAAGCTCCTTCCCACGTGCCTTGCCCTATGTGTCTCTTCCATCTGGCTGTTCCTGAGTTATATCTTTTTATAACAAGCCAGTGATCTAGTAAGTAAAATGTTTCTCTGAGTTCTGTGAGCCATTCTAGTAAATTAACTGAAACCAAGGAGGGGTTTTTGGGAAACAGAGTTATAGCCAGTTGGTCAGAGGTACAAGTAACAATCTGGACTTGTGATTGGCATTCTGAGTTGGAGGGGGTCATTGGAGCCTCTAATCCACAGCCAGTTAGTCAGAAACAGGTAAGAGAATGAATGGGCTTGAGGCTGGCATCTGGTGTATGGGGGTGGACAGTCTTGTAGGACTGAACAATTAACCTACAGAATCTGATACTAACTCTGGGTAAATAGCACCAGAATTCCACTGAATTCTTGGACACCCTGCTAGTGTCTGAGGATTGTTGGTGTAGGGACAAAACTCCCCAACCCCATTTTGGAATTGGGTCTAGGAACTTTTTTTAACCCCTTAGAAATAGCCTTCAATCCCTTAAAATATCCTTCAATCCCTTAAAATATCCCTCACCAGACAAACTGGACTTGGTAAAAACAGCTCTGTTTAGGAAATAAGAGATTAAACATTCATGCTGAGAGGGCTAATAGAGAAATAGGCAAAGAGATAGAAAGTGGTGCGGCGGGAAAAGGAGCAGGTTTGCAGTTAGCAACTCGGGGTATTGTTCCCAGGATGTCACTAGCTAGATGTCAGTACCTGACCTATCTATACCTCAGTTTTCTCATCTCATCTAAGACTTTTGTGTGTGAGTGTGTGTGTATGGGCGCATGTGTGTGCATTTTAAGCAGGGGCTGGGGAGAGGGATGACATTACATCAAAGTAGTAAAGAACATAAGAGAAGCCCTGACAAAGATCAAGTCTCTGGAGAGGATTCCACCAAACCCAGTGCTCCTTTCTCAGGGAGCTCCTCTGCACACACTGCCAAGCTTTGTGTCAAATGGCCTGCCCACCTACTCCCAGACACAGGAATTGGACAGCTATCCTGGCCAAAGGCTGCCATCAATACACGCTGGCTGGGAGTGAGCCAGTGGTATGAGAACATTGCCCTGAAGGGGCCCCTGCATTGGGTGGCACCACCAAGGAACTCTTTGGGGAATTCTAAAGAGACACAGACACACAGAGTATTAGAGGTGGCATTGTCATCAAAGGAAGCGACATCTGCCTCAGTGCTCTTGGGAGCTGGCTGCTGACACTTTCCTGTGAGTTGTCCCTTCTTGGCAGGGTGTTACAACCCATTACCAGGGGGATAGGGGTTGGCAGAAGATACGTTAATACAGAACACATTTTAGGAATTTCCCCCCTTTCTTTTGGTAAATGAAATCCCTTAGCTACGACTGATATGTTGGCCCAATAGTCTAAGTCGATGATGTATTATTCCAAAAATGTTAATCCTGGTCTAGTGATACATAGCTTTATAATATTTTCATCATAGTATCTTTTCAGCATGAGTATTAATAAGCTTTTAAAATGAGACAATCTTTAAAAACAGAGCTACTATTCATCAACCTAGTAAATAAGCATTCTTTGCCTTTTAGGTATTACAACTACAAAAGTTATTTAGTAATTGCTCCTTGTGGGAGTGAGAGGAGAATAGAACATAGAGTGCACTGTTGGATTTTACTTGGCATTACTGACTTCATCTGCATGCAAACCTTCCCACGTATGCAATTCATAGTTTCCGAAATCTCTAGTCTCAGCCTATATTTCAAACCATCTAATTAGTTTATTTAAAAAAAAAAAAAGAAAAGAAGAAAAGAGAGAGACAGGAGGATGAGCATTTTATCAGGGATTTCTCACCAAGATACAAAAGGGACAGAGGGCATGAGATTTGGCTCCACAAAGGACGTGTAATTTAATAATTGTTATTATATCTTGTCTTCCACTTGCTTTGGGTTTAGTTTGCTTTTCTTTTTCTAGCTTCTAATATTGGAAGTTTAGGTGATTGATTTGAATTCTTTATTCTTTCCTAACATAGACATTTATAACTATAAATTTCACTCAAACCTCTGCTTTAACTATGTCCCATTAATTTTTTGTAATAATCAATGATCTAGTTTTTGAGCGATGATTTAATAAAAATAATTTATTAAACAAATTTCTAAAGTCATGTAGCAAATGATTATTATGAAAGTGATACCTCTGAATATAACTTCCAAAATTTTGGTTTATCACAATTTCTTAAGAATATACATCCTGCACATGCATAAAAAAACAGGTGAAATTCACATAACGTTAAAATTAGCATTTTAAAGTGAGTTCAGTGGCATTTAGTGCCTTCGCAATGTTGTGCAACCACCACCTCTATCTAAGTCCAAAGCATTTAATCACTCTAAATTTAATAAAACCCTGTACCATGAAGCAGTTACTCCCTATGCCTTCCTTCTCCCCAGACCTGGCAACCACCAAACTACTTCGTTTCTATGGATTTACCTATTCTGAGTATTTCATATACATGGAATCATACAACATGTGACTTTTTGTACCTGGCTTCTTTCACTTAGCATGATGTTTCTGAGGCTCACATGCATGTTGTAGTACGTGTCAGTACTTCATTTCTTTTTATGGCTGAATAATATTCCTAATATGTATATCCCACAATTTGTTTATCCATTCATCCCTTGTTGAACATTTGGGTTCTTTCCACCTTTTGGCTATTGTAAATAATGCTACTATGAATATTGTGTACAAGGATTTGCTTGTTTTCAATTGTTTTGGGTATATTCCTAGGAGTGGGTTGCTGAGTCATATGATAATCTATGTTTAACTTTTTGAGGAATCACCAAACTTTTTCCACAGTGGCTATACACCATTTTACATTCCTACCAGTGACGTATGAGGATTCAAATTTCTTCATTCCTTACTAATACTTGTTTGTGCTTTTTATTTTTTAAATACCCATCCTCATGGAAGTGAAGCGGTGTTTCACTGTGGTTTTGATTTGCATTTCCTATGTGCTTATTTCATTTGTATATTTTTGGAGAAATGGCTATTGAAGTATTTTGCCCATTTTTAAACTGGGCTGTCTTTTTAAGTTGTAAGAGGTCTTTATGTATTCTGGATACTAAACCATTATTAAACATATGATTTACAAACATTTTCTTCCATTTTGTAGTTTATTTTTTAAATTTCTTGATAATGTCCTTTGATGCGTAAAAAATTTTAATTTTAATGAAGTCTAATTTATCTTTTTTTGCTTTCTTTCTTCTGTGGCTCATACTTTTGGTGTCATATCTAAGACTCCATTGCCAAACTCAAGGTTATGTAGATTTACCTCTATGCTTTCTTCTAAGAGTTTTAGCTCTCATATTTAGGTCACTGGTCCATTTTCAGTTAATTTTTGTATAGGATATGAGGGAGAGGTCTAACTTGATTCTTTTGCATGTGAATATCTAGTTGTCCAGTACTGGTTTTTAGATTATTCTTTCTCCATTGATGGTCTTTGCATTCTTGTCGAAAATCAATTGGTTACAGATGTTTTGGGTTTATTTCTGGACTCTCAAATCTACTACACTGTTGTATATATCTATTTTTATGCCAGTACCACAGTTTTGATTACTGTAGCTTTGTAGTAAGTTTTGAAATTGGGAAAAGTGAAGTCTTCCAACTCAGGTTTTTTGTTTGTTTGTTTGCTTTTAAAAAGATTTTTATTGGGGAATTGGGGGAAGGGGAACAGACAAGTTGCTGTCCTTTTGTTCTTCAATCTAGTTATGGAGAACGATGTTTCACTGGCCCAAGTTGGCACCATCATTGTGCTCTTCCTGGGCGAGGCAGATCAGTCGACGGCTTCTGGATGGCCGCTCACACCCGCTCACGGTGGCTGCTGGCTGCTCACGCTGGCTGCTGGCTACACATGGTAGCCCATGGCAACCCACTGCAGCAGGGGCTGCAGCCTATACCATCACCTGTGAATCACAGCAACCCAGCTCCAGGTTGAGCTGTTGTTCAGCATCTTAGCTGTAGAGGGCAGTGTCACTGGCCCTCATATGTGGGATCTGAACCGGGGCCCTCTGGAGTCCCAAGTCAGCTCTTAACCAACACGCCAC